GAAAATTTCTTGCTCAGTTGCTTTATTGGAGGTCTGAAAGCTGAGATTAAGCATGAAGTGTGTGGTCAGAAACCACAAGGCATTATTGAAGCTTACTGGTATGCCAAGGTATATGAAAAAGCTGCAGCAGCCAGAAAAGTTTTTCCTTCCACAGGGTATAAGGCAAGACCTTATACACACAATGTGAAACAATCTAGCCCTCCACTACAAGTACAAGTGCCCAATCAGGAAAAATACTCAGTACCATTTCCTAAAGATGCAAGAGCATGTTGGTACTGTAGAGAACCATGGTCCAGACAACACAAATGCAAAATTGGAAAAACTTTGCACATCTTACAGGAAGTAGATGATGAAGATGACAGTGAAGGAACTGAGGATGTGAATGGCCCTGAGCAAGCTTACCACACAGCTCCAAACACCCCAGACAAAGAGAAAGTTCCTGATATGAGCACAGCAAAAACATCACAAGCTATGCACATTTCAGGTAATGCTGCAGAAGGAACTACAGGACCCAATACATTCTCCTTGATTGTAGAAATTGCTGGTATGAAAGCTACAGCATTATTTGACAGTGGATCCTTTGACACTTTTATGAGCAAAGAGTTTGCCATTAAAAGTAATTGTTACCAGCAACCAATGCAGCCAAGAAAAGTGACTGTAGCTGGGGGAGGACAGCTATTGTCAGTATCAAAAATTCCAGAAGTTCAGTTTAAAATTCAGGGTCACACTTTTAGCAGCAGTTTCAAAGTATTAGATCTTGCTTCTTATGATATAATCATAGGAGCCAATTGGATTTATCAGTATAGTCCAATTTGTCTGGACTTAGTGGAGAGAATTCTAATTGTGACCAAGCAAGGACAACCAGTGACCTTGTTTGATTACACCATCCCAAAGAAAAAGTGTGTGATAAAAGCAGCCAAAATGGAAAAATTGTTACGCAAGGGAGTAATGGGGTACATTCTCAAAGTGCATGAAGTGGAAACAGAACAAAACAAACAAGTCCTTCCTCCTCCCAGATCACTCCAACCTCTACTGCAAAAATTTGCTGATGTGTTTGAAGAGTCACAACAACTACCCCCAAAAAGGAACTGTGATCACAGGATCATTTTACAGGAAGGAGCAAAACCACCCAATTTAAGACCATATAGAGTACCACATTACCAAAAGGCTGCTACGGAAGAGATCATTAAACAACTCATCAAGAAAGGAGAAATACAAGAAAGTTTCAGTCCCTTTTCTTCTCCAGCTATCATGGTCAGAAAGAAGGATGGAGGCTGGAGACTTTGTGTAGATTACAAAGAGTTAAATGTTGTGACTATCAAGAATAAATTTCCAATGCCCATTATTGAAGATCTGCTAGATGAGATGCATGGAGCAAAGATTTTCTCAAAGTTGGATCTGAAGTCAGGGTACCATCAAATTAGAATGGCACCTGAAGATATACACAAAACAGCATTTAGAACTCACATGGGACACTATGAATATACAGTTGTTCCTTTTGGTCTTTCATGTGGCCCTGGGACATTTCAAGGTCTGATGAACACAGTTGCTAAAGAAGTCAATGAAACAGAAAAACCTAAGTTTCTGCTAGTTTTCTTTGATGATATGTTGGTTTTCAGCAAGTCAATGGAAGATCACATCAGGCATGTGGAAAAGACTCTCACAGCCTTAAGGAAACATCAGTTATATGCCAACTTATCTAAATGCACTTTTGCTACTGACCAAGTGGCATACTTAGGGCACATTATTTCAGCAGAAGGAGTAGCAACAGATCCAGGAAAAATCAAATCAGTACTGGATTGGGAGGAACCTGAGAATGTGACACAATTAAGAGGATTTTTGGGTTTAATTGGTTACTATAGAAGGTTTGTAAAGAACTATGGTCAAATCTGTAGACCACTGCATGACATGCTAAAAAAAGATGCTTTCAACTGGGGCCCTCCACAAAGCCAATCATTCCAACTTTTGAAACAGAAAATGACAAGTTGCCCAGTGTTAGCCATGCCAGATTTCTCCTTATCTTTCACTATTGAAGCTGGTGCATGTGCCACAGGGATTGGAGCAGTACTCATGCAGAGAGGGAGACCTATTGCCTTCCTTAGTAAAAGTTTAGGGCCCAAATCAGCTGCTCAATCCATCTATGAAAAAGAAGCAATGGCTATTCTAGAAGCTCTGAAAAAGTGGAGACACTATGTCTGGGGAAATTCACTAATCATCAAAACAGATCAACATTCTCTCAAATACATGACCACACAGAGATTGACAGAAGGAGTGCAACACAAACTGTTGCTTAAGCTGCTAGAGTATGATTATACCATAGAGTATAAGAAGGGAAAAGAAAATGTGGTAGTTGATGCCTTGTCAAGAAAAAGCAACTCCAGCAGCCTGTGTTGCAATAGCATGACTGTGGTAGTTCCAACTTGGACTGAGGATGTTAAAAAGAGCTACCAAGGAGATCAGGACAGTTCCAATCTGTTAACAAAGGTAGCTGCTGATACAGGACCAACACCCAAATTTACTGCTCAAAATGGCCTCATTAAATACAACAACAGAATTTATGTGGGAGCCAGTACTGAATTCAGACATCATCTGCTACAGACATTCCATACTTCTGCTTTAGGGGGCCATTCTAGAATTAAAGCCACCTATTACAGAATAAAAAGAGTGCTCTACTGGCCCAACATGAGAAAGGATATTGAGCAGTATGTATCCAACTGTCATGTGTGCCAATTAAGCAAAGTAGAGCACATTCATCCACCGGGACTGCTGCAACCACTTCCTGTACCTGACATGGCTTGGGCTCACATAACCATGGATTTTATCACTGCTTTGCCGAAATCACAAGGGAAAGAAGTGATACTAGTGGTAGTGGATAGGTTCACCAAGTACTCCCATTTTATCCCTCTAGCTCATCCATTTATGGTTCAGATGGTGTTTGAGGCACTCATGGATAATGTGGTGAAGTTACATGGACTGCCCATCTGCATAGTTTCAGACAGGGATTCAATTTTCACCAGCAAACTCTATCAAGAACTCTTTGCAGCGTTTGGAGTAAAAATCAGGTTCAGTACAGCGTCTCACCCACAAACTGACGGGCAAACGGAGCGAGTAAATCAGTGTCTCGAAGCTTATTTACGAGGCATGGTGTTCCAGGAACCTACGAAGTGGATCAAGTGGCTTCCCTTAGCTGAGCTATGGTACAACACAAGTTACCACCCCTCACTGAAATGCACTCCTTTTCAGGCATTGTATGGATATAAACCACCTCAAATTGGGGAATTTGCAGTGGATACTTCACTCTCACCGGAAGCAGCTCTTACTATTTCTGAAAGAGAACATATGGTACAGAGATTGAAAGCAAATTTAGAACATGCCCAAAGCAGAATCAAGTATTTTGCTGATCAAAACAGAACTGAAAGATCCTTTCAAGTGGGAGACAATGTGTATTTAAAGATACAACCCTACAGACAAAATGCATTTGGACTGACAGGCTCATTGAAACTCAGGTCCAAATTCTACGGTCCATACAAGATCATTGAAAGAATTGGAGAGGTATCGTACAAGTTGGCTCTGCCTGAAGGAACGAACATACACCCAGTATTCCACATAAGTCAACTCAAGAAACACATTGGACATCAAGCAATCCCACTCCCTCATGTTCCACTAGTTACTCCAGAAGGTTGCATCAAGACTATTCCGGTGGCAGTGCTCGACAGGAGAGTGATTCAGAGGAACAAAACTCCAGTGGGCCAGTGTCTGGTGCAATGGGAAAGCTTAGCGCCAGATGATGCAACTTGGGAAGACGCAGCATTTCTGAACAAAACTTTTCCAGGTCACAAGCTTTTTCACCTTGGGGACAAGGCGATCGTCATGGCGGCGGCATTGTCAGGGCCTGAACCCAGACGGTACTGAAGAAACAACACACACTAGGAGTTTCAGTCAAGCAACAGTTCAGATGAAAGGATAAACCTCACAAAAGATCGACGGCTCGGATGCTTCCTCGCGTCTCCTCTCAAATTAAACGCAGAGTACTGTGGCGTGTCCGTTACGACAGTGACAGCTGTATCGCTGGCCCCTTCCCATTTATATCTTGCCGATCGAGATCACCAGAAGCATGTTATCTTTCCCCATTTCTTGTAATAGCTTAGAACCCTAACTACTTGTACTGCAAGACGGGGTCTCTGACCTTCGATCTATCCCGATTTGTATCCCAGACTTGAGAAATTGCTGTTAAGTGAGAGAAAATGCATAGATCGATGGAATTCCCCTGATTTTGTGCTTACAAAATGGGAGTCCGATCGAATCACCTTTTTAGACAGGTATGAGATACACTGGTTAGTCTAGACGTTTAGGGATAAAATGTAGATGCTCTGAGGCCGGCTGAGCTTGTCCACGTTCGTTGTTCGCGGACTGGAACTTTTTTTCTTTTGAATGGATTGCTTACCTAGCTCGCCACACTCGAATTTTTGGAGAGCCAGATCTGCAACGGTTACTTTCACAAGCAACCAACGCCAAAACGTGAACACAAGCATAGCCCGAACGGCTCACGGGAACCTGTATCATGGTAGTAGCATCTAAGTGCTTGTATCACCTGATATTTTCTCACTCCATTACACGATCACGGCACAGGTACTGTTGTAGATTTTGTAATATAATAATCTCATAGACTCGCAGAAACAACTCGTCGGGAAGAATCTTTAATGAGAAGACTACCACAGTGACTCACCAGGAAGGTACTCATGTACAGCACGAATATACGACAGACAATACGGTACGACGACGACCATGCTCCACGCTGACCACCTTAAACAAAAGAACTCGGGCAGCATCCGTTGCCCAACCACTGCTATCAATCCTACAACCTGTCTGATATAATCAAAAGATATTATTTTCTCTCCGCTCGCACATAGCACATACGATCACCATCCTTCAACTCGTCATGCTTGTCTAGATTCGCGTTTCTCCTCTGCTACAGAGATCCAGGTTCTTTGTAACTTGGTCTATGCTGATTGCTGCGACTGCTGCTGCTGCTGGTGTTGTTGCTGAGCCTGCTGCGTCTGTGATGACTGCTGCTGTTGCTGCTGCTGTATTTGCAGCTGCTGCATTTGAATCAGCTGGGAGTTCATCTGCTGCTGTAGGCCCGCCTTCGACATACGAGCATCCGTAATCTCACCGGTTGCAAGTTTCAGCCGCTGGACCTCACCCGTTAGTGCTTCATTCAGAGCTGGATACACATGAATCCCATAGAGAAACATAAATCAATGGACATAATATTGCAAAACAACTAATTAAATTACATGATAGCCTTCATTCAATCAATGCAATAGGTGGCAAAAAAAACAATGTGCATCAACGAGGAAATAAAATCTTATATTATCTGAAAAGAAAGAAAAAAAAATGGCACATGCATAGTTGATTTCCATAGTTTAGCACTGAAAGTCACAAAGCAAGATGAGCATATATATAACCCTGTCATCCAAATAAACACAATGACACATGACTGGTTCTAATAGACACTGCAAACAACAACCTGAACAACTAAACATGGATTCTATAACACAACACATAACTAATACTGTGACAACTGTGACAACAAGCATGAAGATAATGAAAATATCATTATCATATATACTTGTGTTTGCCTAGAAAGTTTATCCGGGGAGGGCTAGCAATTGGCATATGATGTCATCTTGCAATGAAATCAACTTCTAGTTAAACACCAGCAATTTATCACGCCAACCACGGACATATGCTAGCCGACCTTAGAGCATCTTCAACCAGACCCCCTACTCCG